AAGAGAGAAGTAAAAAATAAAAAAAAAATAAAAATAAAAAAGTAAAAAACAAAAATAAAAGTAAATGAGAGTGAGATAAGACGTTTCGGTCCATTAAATCTTAACAGATGCTTGTGTTAAGGGAGAATCACTGAGCTGAAAATCTTTTTTGAAAAAAACGAAACGAACGTCAGGATCGCCAGCAAACTGATCACCAAATCGTGCAACAATGGTCCAAGCAACTCAGTAAATTACCCCAGTTTTACTGTTTTAGAAAAATGGACTATGAATTAGACCTGATTTAAAACATTCCCAGTATTTTGGTTAGCTGTTAAACTCATATTTGCGTTATCAACGCAATCTTGACGACTTTTCACGATTCCAGTACAAAAGCTACATTCTGATGCTAGTACCCCAGCACTCTTGGGCATTTTTCACAAAATATTATGTCTACATAAATAAAAATAAAGGGAAATTTATCAGCTCACCGGATAATTTTGTTATCAATCAATGCTTTGATTTTGCGCTTCGAAACCACCGTATAATTGATGTTCAGGCGACCATATTCCCATTGTACGGGGCAATAGATATCCAAGGCATTACACAACCAATAATAGCTGCTACGCCTGCAAAACAAAATTTTGAACTTGTTTTTTTTTCTAAAAATCTTTTCTTCAATGCTTTTCTTAATCTTTTTTTTTTAAAACTTTTCAAAAACCTTTTCTTAAATGTCTTTTTTAAATTTTCTTTAGAAATCCTTTCTTCCCTTTCCTTTCTTTCTTCATTCCATTCTCACTCCCGCTAATCCCATAATCATAGCGTTTCCCTTTCTTTCCCTTCGTCTTTCTCTTTTCTCTTCATTTTCCGTTAAGCACTGCGACCGTCGTCATACTGACAAGATCCTGTCGCGGTGTTAAGACGTATATGACTTAATGGACCGAAACGTCTTATCTCACTCTTATCTCCTTCTTTCATTCTGTTCCTTCTTTCTGTGTTTTTATCGCGCCTTCGCCATTTTGGCTTCCAGGGTCAATCTGGTTGCTACTATCGGTTTATGTGCATAACAGGAATGTATGCGACTTAATGGACCGAAACATTCCTACTCGGGTTTTCTAATCCGATTTATCTTATTCTTCTTCCTTTTGTTCCTTCCTTTTAACCCTTACTTTTTACATAAACACACATTATCTAAAATTAAAATTAAAATTACAACAGAAGAGCATCTTATAAAAAGAAGGGATCAAAGATCAATTTTTGACATTTTTCTGATTCCCAGAAAATGCAACTTATGACGCAAGCGCCTTGCCAATTACTTGCTGGTTCTCGAAATATGCTAAAATGCATAAATAACGGGACATCAATTAATCATTGCTCCTGTATTGAAGGACTTTACAACGGGGTTCGATTTCACAACAAAGACAATCAAAGGCCAGCAAAATTTGTCGTTTATTTCGATGATGAATGGGTGCTGACGTATGTCAGGGGATCAAATCTGCCATCAGCTTGCTTATAAGCAATTTTCGAGAAAAGAAGTCATTAATCGCTTTGCCAGTTCATGGTTGCTGTTGGTATTTGCTATTACTTGGTCCACTTCTTGTATGATATTGCCTCTAAAAGAGGGTAAATACTGGTGGGACGGAGGCCGGCGATGGGGGAAGGGGGGAGGGGGGTGGAAAGTAGAATTTAGAAAAAAACGCATATTTTCTGAACATCTCTAACCTCGATTGAAATTCTTTGGTACATAACGAATGTGTAATGTTCTCCAGTGAGTCACACAAACAATGAGTATAATCATAAGTTGGATAAATGCACCTGAAAAAAAATCAAAAAATAATTGAAAAATATGTTCACAGACGCTACAAACTAGGGCAATGCCTTTCCACGTGGACATGCGAAGTTCTGAGAAAAAAATGCCACATAAAATAACAGGATTTTGATGTTTCCATAGGCGGATCCAGAGGAGGGAAGGGGCGGGGAAACCCGCTTATGAGATCAAAATCACGTTATTTTAT